AAAAGACAAATTTGAAATTCTTTAGAGTACTACAGCTCATTTCACTATAGTTATCATCAAGGGAATCAACAGAATTTTAATTATTATTCATGTCAGTAAGAGAAAATCTAGAACAACTTAAAAGTTTTAAAATAAATTAGTACAAGGAAAAAAGAAAAGAGGATTTCTGATGGTGATATAACCGAATTCACTCTGTTCTGCTACAAGGAAGAGACGCAGGGATAGGTAAAGATGTTTCCTGTGGAAACATCAAACATATAGGAAACATTATTTCCTATGTTGAAATGGTATGAATTGAAATAACCAGCCTAACTCCTACTTGTCAGTCTCAAACCAATCTGAAGCCAAATTGTGAACACTGGAAAAACTTCACTTTTTAGCCTCTTATTTCAAGAAATGTAAACACAGTCCTGGTGTAGGGATATATGTGACCCCATCCCACTCGATGAGATGTAAAGGAAAAGACTTGTAGGGGATTTGGAGGGAATAATTTCTTTAAGAGCTCAGTACACAAGAGAGCCTCTGTGATCCCGGCGTCCTGTTTTGAGGTGTCCTATGAGAACACACAGATCTGTTGCAGTCATGACCGAAAAGCCAAAAGGACTGTAGAGATCCACCCCAGCATCTGACAACTTTGAGATGTAGAACCAATGTTAAAATAATTTACCTCCATGCTTCTTGTTATAGGAGGGGAAAATAAAACTCCTATTTGGACAACTTGTGATTGCTTTTTATTTTTCTATAGCTAAAAGCATTTGTAATGTTTATAGATCTCCTAGATTTATTCTCTAATTTTTCTCATCTTTCCTCTAATATTTTCCATCTGTGTTTTTATTCTGCTTTCTAGAGATTTCCTTAACTTTATAACATTTATTTATATGCAGAGACATAACACATATATTTACATTTTCTGCTGAACTTTTATACTATTTTAATTATTTTAATACCAAGAGCTCTTTCTTGTGCTCCATTAAGACTTTGTTTTAGAACAGCCATGAAACAAGAACAGACTGTCTTATCTCTGATGTTAATTATAGTTATTTTCAGGTTTTCATCTTCACTGCACTGTTTCTGAGTTTCTTTTGGCCATTTTTGCTATTATCTTTCCTGTTATAAGCTTTCTTCCAATATCTGCTTATTCTTAGCTATCCATTTATATTTAAAACTTAAGAGCTTTTAAGATGTCAATACTACCCAAGCATCTATGAAGTCAATGTAATCCCTATCAAAATCCCAATGTGTTTCAGAAACAGAAAAATCTACCCTGAAGTTCTTATGAAATCTCAAAGGATACTGAATAGCCAAAACAATCCTGAAAAGGAAAACAAAGCTGGAGGTCTCACAATTCCTGATTTCAAAACTTATTACAAAGCTACAGTAATCAAATAGGTATAGTATAAAATGGCATAACATTGGACATAAATACCGGTAGAAAAGAAAAGAGCCCAGAAATTAATTCTTACATACATGGTCAAATGATTTTTGACAAGGGCACATGTCAAACTTTCTATACAAAGGACAGTCTTCTCAACAAATGGGGCTGGGAAAACTGGATATACACATGCAAAAGATTGAAGCTGAACTCTTACCTTATACCATACAGAAAAATTAACTCAAAATGGATCAAAGACCTCAACATAAGGGCTAAAGCTGTAATTATGTATCTTAGAAGACAAGAGAAAAAAAGCTTCATGACATGGATCTGATAATGATTTCTTGGATATGACACCAAAAGCACAGGCAATAAGAGGAAAAATAGGTAAGTTAGACATCATCAAAATAAAAAAAAACTGCACAAAACATAATAAACAGAGTGAAAAGGGAACCTGTGGATTAGAAGAAAATATTTGCAAATCATGTATCTAATTAGGACTGATACTCAGAATATATAAATAACTCCTACAACTCAACAACAAAATAAACAACCCAATTAAAAATGGGTGAGACTTAAATAGACATTTCTCCACAGAAGAAACACGAATGGCCAATAAGGACATGAAAAGATGCTCAACATCATTAGTCACCAGGGAAATACAAATCAAAACCACAAGATACCACTTCACACTCATTAGGATGGCCATTACATACACACACACACACACACACACACACAGACGGAAAGAGAAAGTGTTGGCAAGGATGTGGAGTAATGGGAGCTCCTGTGTATTGCTAACAGGAATGAAAAAGGCAGCTGCTGTGGAACACCACTATGGCTCTATGGCAATTCTTTAAAAAATTAAACATAGAATTACCACATGATTCAGTAATTCCACTTCTGGGTATATAGTTAAAAGGAGTAAAATCAGCATTACTCATGATAACAAAAAGGTAAAAACGACCAACCACTGATGGTATCCATTGATAGATGAACGGATAAACAAAATGTACAATATTATTTAGCCTTAATTAGCAAAGAAATTTTAACCCATTCTACAACACAGATGGAACTTGAAGACATTATGCTAAATGAAATAAGCTAGTCACAAAAGGACAAATACTGTATAATACCATTTATTTGAGTAGTCAAGTTCATAAAGAAACCAGAATGGTGGGTCTCAGTGGATAAATAAGAGACTTGATTTTTCACTGAAGGGCCTTCATGTTTCAGTACCCAAAGGTCTTTTCCCTGGGCCTTGCCAACCTTCCCCAGGGAAAAATACTGTCATTGCCAGGCAGGCTTCTCTTCATAGTATATCAAGTGATGTAAGTTCCATGTTTATTGTCTCTAATTCAAAAATTTATGGAGCACTCAATATGTGTCAAGAATGATGCTATTTCATAATTATAAACTTAATGAAACCTTCAATTACTACATGTGTGACAGTATTCCCATTTTACCAATGATGTGAGGTAATAGGAAGGTTGGGTAACCTATCTGCAGAAACTAAGACACAGCTTAAGATTCAAACATAGGGCCTGTGTGACTCCAAGGTTCATCTTAACCACTATATTATAGTGCTTTCTACAGGGAAATTGTGTAGTGTTTGTCCCTGAGAATGCGGATCTACATGCTAATGATATAATCTGTGAGGTATGGTCTGCTGTATATTATCCTAGTTAGATGTAATTTGAACAGTAAAAAGCCTGAAGAGTGTGAGTGTGGAGGAGGCAGCGAATCCCTGCTATACTCAAACACAGTTATTGATGTAAATGTATTACAACTAAGCGTGGGGGAAAGTCTCCCAAGACATAGAAGTGGCTAGCAGAAAAACTGCTGGTTAAGTTGTCTAGTTCTAATTAACAAAGAATTACTATTTTCTTTTCTCTCTCTTTTTTTAAGATTTTATTTATTTGACAGAAAGAGACATAGCGAGCCAGTGAACACAAGCAGGGGGAGTGGAAGAGGGAGAAACAGGCTTCCCACTGAGCAGGGAGCCCTATGCAGGGTTTGATCCCAGGACCCCTGGGATCATGACCTGAGCCGAAGGCAGCGCCTAATGACTGAGCCACCCAGGCACCCCTCTTTTTTTTTAAAGATTTTATTTATTTATTTGACAGAGAGAGACACAGTGAGAGAGGGAACACAAGCAGGGGGAGTGGGAAAGGGAGAAGCAGGCTTCCCACTGAGCAGGGAACCCGATGCAGGGCTCGATCCCAGGACCCTGGGATCATGACCTGAGCCGAAGGCAGACACTTAATGACTGAGCCACCCCGGCGCCCCAAGAATTACTATTTTCACCAGAACTCTGCCTCCTTATGACTCCTGTTCTTGTCCTCCTCAGACATAAAAGTAAATCAGCATGGAATATTAGGAAGTACACTAGTCTTCAGAGGTATGAATTCTAGTCCTAGTACTGATACCTGGCAGTGTGCCCTGGGATAAGCCATATGAAGAAGACAACAGTTTATTAGTGATGATTCTCAAACTTCCAAATTTATTTTAGAAATGCAAACTTAACTTGTAAGATTTAATGTGCCCTTTAAAAGCAATCAGATTATTAAATTGGAAATTTAGTTTAGGAGTCTATCAATCCATGCCTAAAAATCTCTGGCATTTGAAGGCAAATGGTAACCTGATCATTTGTAATTTAGGGTTATATTCCTGTATGACTAGTGATTACAGCTGGAGCCAGCTTTTACAGAGACAGGCAGTATGAGCAGTGGTGAGCAGTGTGGGCTGTGAAGCCCAACTACCTGGATTCCCTGACAGCATGCTCGTCATGGAACCCGAGTGACTTACAGAAGGAAACTGATGCCAAGAAAGCTTACCTGTGATTATAATAGTAACTACTACCTCACAGGATTAAGAACAATTACTAACTACTCTATAAATTTACAATGATGCTCAAAGCTTGATACAAAAACCTAAAGGCACTATTAAACAGTAAAGGTAAGCAATTTTGAGCTATTTAAATATTATATATTTTATCTATTAAGAAAGCAAAAACCAATTTGGGGGGGATTTGTTCTGGAAAAAAGATATTTTACCAGGAAAAAAGATATTTTATAAAATTCGCCCCATTTCCTAATACGGTAACTAGTTTCCTAACCCCTACAACTGAATGCTTTCTCTTTTTTATTTTTTTATTTTTATTATTTTTTAAAAGATTTATTTATTTATTTGACAGAGAGAGACAGTGAGAGAGGGAATACAAGCAGAGGGGGTGGAAGAGGGAGAAGCAGGCCTCCCGCCGAGCAGGGAGCCCGATGCGGGGCTCGATCCCAGGACTCGGGGATCATGACCTGAGCCAAAGGCAGACACTTAACGGCTGAGCCACCCAGGCGCCCCCCCGCCCTTTTTTAAATAAGTTTTCCACCAGGGTATATTTTTAAGTTTATACATGACTTCTCCTTTAGTTTTGACATTTTTCCAAATTACAAAATACTGCATATTACTATAACAAGTGAAACAAGATTAAGAAGTATAAGAAAGACAAAGGTAATTCACCTTCCCCTTTCTCATCTCATCTCCTAAGAGAAATATAACCAGTACAAATGCTTGTGATAAGTTCATGTTTTTATTTTCAAAATTACAACAGATATGATACTCAAAAGCTTACCTCCAGATATATTGATGGTGGATTATGCTCCCCACCAAATTTGTCCAACAGGGCTTCTATATGTTCCTGTGTCAACTTAATCATTTGTTTGATATTCCACACCTGAAAAATATTTTAAAAGAATATAAATAAAATGAATTAGAATATTTTTATTAAAATATTTTTATTAAAATACTTTAGTAACTGCCAGCATTCCTTGAAATTTAGGGCTTAGAGACCTGTTTAATATAGCAATTTTTCCCATTTATTATTAAACATCTTAAAACTCTTTTCTACACTAGTAATACAATAAACTCTCAACTGTAAAAGACTCAAGTAATAGATAAGTATTCAGAATAAATAATGAAAACCTCTTTTTCACCTTCCCCACATTCCTGGACCCCTTGCCAAAAATGTTAAGTGCTATTTACAGTTTGTTATGCATCCTTCCACATCTCCTTTTAATTCAAGTAAATATCATAATACATACACATACAAAATATACAAAAACATATAAGTATTATATATAAAATATATTTTTAACACTTTTTTCACTGAACAGCATGCCTCAAAATTCTTTCCATGTCAAGACATACATATTTTATTTCTTTAAAATGGTTAAGTATAGATACATTCATTTTGTAATATTTTGACACTGCTTATCTCAATGGTCTTCAAGTTTCAACAGCAACCTAACAGTGGGCAAACATGGATGATTTTAGGAGAAACAATTTCCAGATCTTCGATGTCTATATGTACTCTTTCTAACTGAACGGTTTGAGAACTAGTTCTTTTTTCCTCTCCCTTTAAAATCACCACATTGTAATTCTCCACTCTCTTCAAGAAAGGCAAAATTCTTATCCATCTCAGACCCTACTAAGGTGCACTATTCTGAGATGTACAAACTTCAAAGTACCTAACAAACAACAGGTAAAAATCCCTTGAGAGAAAGCAAGGTGTGTGTGTTGGGGGGGAAGGGGAAAGCGATTAAAATCAGGCCTTTATCAATGAAACAAATTCTTGGCAGGGTTCTAAGCCTCATCCATTTAGCCATCCAGCCAGCCTAGAATTCAGAAGTCAGGTGGTTATAGTACAGGCACATATTACATGTTTAAGATAAGTCAGTTTTTTTTTCCCTGATTAAGACTGAGTCCAATTTATCTGGTTAGAGAACGTGCTTTGCAAATTGCACTATATGCTAGATACTCTATGAGTTGCATGATCTAAACCAAAGATGAACAGCATAAATACAATACACACTAGTAATTATGGCCTTTTAAACTACTGCTATAATTTAAAAATGTGAGATAATTAAAAAATGTACAAGAGGGAATAGTTGGATGAACAAGGGGGTTTCAGGACCATCGGTTTATTTAATAATTCCCTTACTAGAGGACATGTAGATTATTCCATTTTTCTCAACTTCAAACAATGCTTCAATGAATAGTTCTGAGCTGCCTTTCTGGGCAAAGGTACAAGTTTCCCTTTTAGATATCAAGGCACAGGATTCCTGAATTGAAAGTTATGTGCATTAAAAAATTTAATAAATGTGTCAAACGGTCTTCCAAAAGAAAAGAGTACTAAGTCATACTCCCATTAGGAGGGTATCCCATCAATACTGGGTATTATCAAACTTTGAAACTTTTGCCAATTTGAAGGGGAAAAGGTGATCTTGTTGTTTCAATTTCTATTTCCCAGAAAACTGAACATTTTTCATGTTCATTGGACATTTACATTTCTTTTTGAAAAATTCCCTATCCACATTTTTTATTCTATTTTTTTCTTGTTGATGTATAGATACCTTTTGTTCTAGATATTTTATATATTAATCCTTATCCTCCTCCAAATGTTGCAGTCTTTTCTTGTTTTTCATTTTATGTCTCATTTGTCATACAAAGTCTTGCTACTCAAAGTGTGGTCTATAGACCAGCAGCAGCATAATCTCCTGGAAGGATGCTTGAGTAGCAGAATCTCAGGCCCCATCTCAGACGTACTGAGCTTTAACAAAATGATTTATATTAAAACTTAAGAAGCAATGAGAGAAGTTTCCTTCTCTTTCTATGGTCAGATATTGCAACATCTTCCCTTATGACTCCATGGCTAATTTCTCATATCCCTCCAAAAGCACTAGATGTCTTCTTTTCTCTAGCTATACTTAACTCCCCAGGTGATCTCATCCAATCTTATGGCTTTATATGCCAAATATGGACTGATGAAGCACAAATTTTTAAATCCAGCTCTGTCCCCTCAACTCCAGACTCTTTTTGTCCAACTGCCTACTGAACATCTCTACTAAGACAATGAATAGACATCTCAAACTTAACATGTTCAAAGACTAACTCATGATCTACCCCACAACCCTCCCAAAATTTATTTTTCCCACAGTCTCTTCATCTCAGAAAATGATAACCTCCTTCTATGATGAGTTCATTGACCACGCAGGCAGAACAGCTTTATAATAAGAATTTTGATATCCTAAAATTGATTATGTTTTTCATATCTACTAGCTGCTTTGAGATCAGAAACATGTTCTATTCTTCTTTTGTCTCCTCATCACTTATCTTGAGTCGTAGTCATAAACAGCTATTCAATCAGTGCTGAAGTTAAGATTCAAGCTGTTTTTAGAATAGGGTAAGAGAGAAAAAAATTAATCCTAGTTCAGTGATTCTTTCCAGTCCAGCAAGTTGAAGACTTTATAACCCACAGCAACTCCCCCTTTTTTATTTTTTTATTTTTTTAAAAGATTTTATTTATTTATTTGAGAGAGAGAGAATGAGAGAGAGAGAGCATGAGAGGGAAGAGGGTCAGAGGGAGAAGCAGACTCCCCACCGAGCAGGGAGCCCGACGTGGGACTCGATCCCAGGACTCCAGGATCATGACCTGAGCTGAAGGCAGTCGCTTAACCAACTGAGCCACCCAGGCACCCAACTCCCCCTTTTTTAAAGCTCCTTAGATAAAAATCATGTGCAGTAAGGGTAAAGAACCACTCCCCCAAGGGATGGGAGAGAGAAAGGGAAAAAAAAATTGGATTAGCAAAGGAGAATGAGAATGAGGAAAATGAGGGAACAGAGCTGATTAAAACTGATTAGAATAAAAATTTTTTGCTGGGCAGTAGAAAATGATTGGTTTGGTGATGTAGAGCAGGGCCACACCAGAATGTCCAGAAATAAGATTTCTTATCTTCCCAAACAAAAGTAATTTTAAATCCAAAAAATGAAGAAAAATCACTACAAGCCCTCGTTGAAATTAAAGAAGATGAGTCTGGGACAAAAAATTCTTTCAGATTTCCCCAAAAGAGAAAGAGAAAGAACTTTGATGATATTTATAAAATAGAAATATATTAAAAAAACAGGATAAAGGGGTGCCTAGGTGGCTCTGTCAGTTAAGCATCTGACTCTTGATTTTGGCTCAAGTCATGATCTCAGGATCCTAAGATAGAGCCGTGCAACCGGCTCTGTGCTCAGTGTGTGGGGGGGTCTCCTTGGGATTCTCTTTCTCCCTCTGCCCCCCCCACCCCTTGCCGTGCATGCGTGTGAGCACCCATGTGCTGTCTCCAAAAATAAATAGGTTTGTTGTTTTTTTTTTAAGTAGAACAGGATATTGTAAAACTAAAAGGAGATAGTTTTGGCCTTAACATGGCTTCTTAGAAAAAATGAAGAAAATCTGTTTCAACAATCCTAAAAGGGAAATGAAAGAATTAAAAACAAAAACAAAAACATTCAAGAAAGGTACTAGATTTCCTGTCCTGTTTTGATCTCTTCAGTGGACCACAGCAATTAAAACCAGGTAATTTTAGTAAACAAGTGATCATTTCTAGTGACTTTACAAATGGCAAAATTCCCTCCCCCTAAAAATATTTTTTTTTAAAAGCCTACCTCAGAAGATGCCTATGTTAAAATATAAATTCAGACAAACTACTAGGGAAGGAACTACAGGCAAACAATGGTACAAAAAACTACAGCCACCGGCTTCCTTCCTCCCAATAAAAAGGCATCAAGTCCAGATTATTATATGATTGGTTTCAATCAAACCTTTAAAGAAAATATAGTAACAATTATTAGTACGATAGCATATAAAAAAAAATCTTCCAAATTCATTTTATGAAACTAGCAAAATCTAGATGTCCAAACCTGACATAGATAATACAAAAAGAAAAAGAAAACCACAATAATCCAACATGTGAGGATAGAAAAAAAAAATTTTTTTTTAAAGAGAGAGAGAGAGGGAGGGGGAGGCAGAGGGAGAGAGAGGGGCAGAGGGAGGCTGCTGCAGAAGGAGAGGAGGAGAAAGAATCTTAAGCAGGCTCCATGCTCAGCACGGAGCCCGATGAGAGGGGGCTCGATCTCACAACCCTGAGATCATGACCTGAGCTGAAATCAAGAGTCGGACATTTCACCACATCAAAAACTAATGATGTATTATATGGTGACTAACATAACCTAATAAAATTAAAAAAAAAAAAAAAAAAAAAATCGGACCTTAACCAACTGAGCCACCCAGGCACTTTGGATAGAAAAACTGTTTTCCTTCTCCCTCTCCCTTCCCCCAACTCTCCCTCTTGCTCTTTCTCTCAAATTAATGCTAGTCATTCATCAGGAATCCAGTAAAGTCATACCTTAAACAGATCAAAGAAGAAAATTACAGATTATAGATGCCAAAAAAACAAATGACTATCACCAAAGATAAAAAATTTTAAATAAATAATTCAAAAAGAGAGACATGGTCCTAAAGTTTCAGAAGAACTGCTACAAGAATTATGGTACTGTAAGCAAGAAGGCTAGACCATCACCTATGTTACCTTATATGACAAAAAAAGTGAAAAAGTGAAAAAGATTCTAAATAATTCCTCTAAAATAAAAAAAAACAAATACACCAGCAGCTTGAGAAAGAAATCAAAGCTAATAAATCACAGACCAAAATATAAAAGGAAGTTTCTATTGAGATAATTCTAGAATATCTCCAAGCTTAAAGACAGCACATATAAAAAGGAAGCATGAGGAAATGATAAAGACCTGAAATTGTAATCATATAGTCATTAAAATAAAATTTCAGTTGAAGTAAAAAGATTAGAGCTAAAGAAAGATTTAAAGAACGAGAAGAGGATTCAGAGAAAATTAGCCAAAAGGCAGAGAAAAATGAATGGAAAATATGAAAGACAAAGAATGGAATTAGCAAATCCAGAAGCTAAGCAGACAATGGGAGAGATATCTGAAGAAAGGATGGCTGTAATTTTCCAAAACAGTTGAAAATAAAAATTACTAAAAAGTAGCACAATGAGTCCTGTGTCTTGGCCATGACAGATAAAACTAAATCCACAACCATACAGGTTGAAGTCAAAGTGCATAAAAGTTCTTAAAGTCAACCAGAGAGAGGGGCGCTTGGGTGGCTCAGTCGTTAGGCATCTGCCTTCAGCTCAGGTCATGACCGAGCCCTGCATCCGGCTCCTTGCTCAGCGGGAAGCCTGCTTCTCCTTCTCCCACTCCCCCTGCTTGTGTTCCCTCTCTCTCTGTGTCTCTCTCTGTGAAATGGATAAATAAAATCTTAAAAAAAAAAAAAGTCAACCAGAGAGAAAAGAAAAATAAATTAGCATATTTCTTTTTTTTTAATTTTATTATGTTATGTTAGTCACCATACAGTACATCATTAGTTTTTGATGTAGAGATCCACATTCATTGTTTTCATATAACACCTAGTGCTCCATGCAGTACGTGCCCTCCTTAATACCTCTCACCGGGCTAACCCATCCCCCCACACCCCCTCTCCTCTAAAACCCTCATTTGTTTCTTTTTTCTTTTTTTTTTTTAAAGATTTTATTTATTTATTCTGAGAGACAGAGAGAGAGAGAGAGAGGCAGAGGGAGAAGCAGTCTCCCAAGGAGCAGGGAGCCTGATGCGGGACTCGATCCCAGGACTCTGGGATCATGACCTGAGCTGAAGGCAGACGCTTAATGACTGAGCCACCCAGGCGCCCAACCCTTGTTTGTTTCTCAGAGTCCATAGTCTCTCATGGTTCATCTCCCGCTCTGATTCCCCCCCTTCATTTTTCCCTTCCTTCTCCTAATGTCCTCCATGCTATTCCTTATGTTCCACAAATAAGTGAAACCATATGATAATTGACTTTCTCCGCTTGACTTATTTCACTTAGCATAATCTCCTACAGTCCCATCCATGTTGATGTAAAAGTTGGGTATTCATCCTTTCTGATGGCTGAGTAATATTCCATTGCACATATGGACCACATCTTCTTTATCCATTCATCTGTTGAAGGGCATCTCGGCTCTTTCCACAGTTTGGTTATTGCAGACATTGCTGCTATGAACATTGGGGTGCATAGGGCCCTTCTTTTCACTACATCTGTGTCTTTGGGGTAAATGCCCAGTAGTGCAACTGCTGGGTCACAGGGTAGCCTCTATTTTTAATTTTTTGAGGCAGCTCCCTACTGTTTTCCAAAGTGGCTGTACCAACTTGCATTCCCACCAACAGTGTAAGAGGGTTCCCCTTTCTCCACAACCTCTCCAACATTTGTTGTTTCTTGCCTTGTCAATTTTTGCCATTCTAACTGGTGTAAGGTGGTATCTCAATGTGGTTGACAGAGAGAGACGCAGTGAGAGAACACAAGCAGGGGGAGTGGGAGAGGGAGAAGCAGGCTACACAAGCAGGGGGAGTGGGAGAAGGAGAAGCAGGCTTCCCACTGACCAGACAGTCCAATATGGGGCTCGATCCCAGGACCCTAGGATCATGACCTGAGCCGAAGGCAGATGCTTAACAACTGAGCCACCGAGGTGCCCCTAGATAGCGTATTTCTTAACAGTAAAAGAAGCCAGAGGATAATGAAATGACTTCAAGATACAAATGAAAACAGCTGACAACCTAGAAAAGGGAAACTGAACCCAGAATAATGTAGAAGAATGGTATGGGCATGTTAGACTGATCAACAGCCCCCAAAATATCTACATTCTAAACCCCAGAACCTATGTTACCTTATATGACAAAAAGAATTTTGCAGATGTAATTGTTTCTTTCTTTCCTGTCTTTCTCTTTCTTTCTTTCTCTTTTTCTTTTTCTTTCTTTCTTTCTCTTTTTCTTTCTCTCTCTTTCTTTCTCTTTCTTTCTTTCTTTCTTCTTTCCTTACTTTTCTTTCTTTTTCTTTTTTTGCAATTAAGTATCTTGAGTTAGAGTAGATTATCTTGGACGGGCCATAAATGTTACTACAAACATCCTTATAAAATGGAATTGGAGGGAGATTTTGTTACAGAGGATAAGGTAACATGAAGATAAACCAGAGAGAGCTGAAGATGCTACACTGCTGGCCCTGAAGTTGAAAGAAGGGACCATGAATCAAGGAATCTAAGGAATGCAGTTCTAGAAGCTGTAAAAGGTAGGGATATGTGCTCCGGAGGGAGAACAGTCTTTTGACACCTTGATTTTGGCCCAGTGAAACCCACTTCGGACCTCAGACCTTCAGAATTATTAAGAGAATAAGTTGTGGTATTATTATAAAACACGAGGTTTGTGGTCATTTGATACAGCAACCACAGGAAACTAATATAAATGGGGAACCTAGAAACTAATAAACACAAGCGTAAATCTAAATAAGCATAAACTATGTAAAACAACAAAAACAATGATAACAACTACTGGGGGGAAACGGCCAGCACTAAAGCATTCTAAGACCCACCTATTATTCAAGAAGAGGGATCCTGGAATATCTCATGTGCCAGACAGATGTCAAAACAACACAGGAGTCAGCTTAAAGGGACTCCTACTGGCCAAATTTGGAAGATTATCAGCAAAAAGAGTAAAAACTATAATTAATTACAACAGATTGCATACATAAAATAAAAACTCTAGTTCATAAAAGTAAGAAGTGTGTTTTGGGTGACATTTGCCACCAGTGTAGGTGACTATTACATCTTTAGAAAACTAAACATTACTGGAAAAGAATTATGTATTTATCTTGCCTTTTGGGGGGAAAAATTCTACTTATTCCCATTTGATGTGGGAAGCTCTCTTTACAAAAAAAAAAAAAAAATGCCAGCCAATATAAAATCACTGATTCAGGAAAGGATCACGGGAGGCTAAAACCATTAGATGAAAAGCTAATAAAGAACAGGAATACTCATATAGTGTCAAAGCATTTCTGCAGATTAAAGACAAAGGGAAACACACACCTTTACAAGGAGATGTGGCTTTGAATCATTAATAGAGGGACAATCCGACAAGTGCCTCTTAATGTGATGCAACATAAATGACACATTATCTATCACCCATGAAGTATACCTGCAAAACATTATATAGAATCAAATCAAACTTTTATACTTAACTTCTAATTTAGAAGAAATATCCAGGATAAAAAAATATGCTAAAAACACCACAATGAAATAATCAGGAAAAGAGAAAATATGGGACATTCATTAAGACATTTACCTTTCTCTTTGAAAGTCAAAGCCATGACAACCAGAGAAACCCAAAATGTGGGACATTGCAGGACAAGTGTAATAAATCATGTCATGGGAAACAAAATGGCAGGTGGTCAGTTGAAGACTCTAAGATAACAACTCCTAAAAGTCAACAACTAATTCAATGCATGCACAAAAAGGAGATCTTAGTTCAGGGATGGAGGAAAGTCATAAAAAACATTCTTAGGATAACTTTGGAAATTTAAACATGGACTTCATGCAATTATGGAATTGTTAATCTCCCTAAATATATTTTAGACAGGTAAAATAATTTTCCAGGACCTATAAATCTAGCAAAATGTTAATAACTGTTGAAGCTAGGCAGTATAGATAATATCTATGTAAGTGTTCATTGTGATGTTATTTCCACTTTTCTGTAGGTTTGAGTTTTTTCCAAACTTTTTATTTCTTTTTCCTTTAATTCTTCCCAACAATGCTTTTTCTCTTAAAGTCTATTTTATGATACAAACCTACCTACACCAGCATTCTACCACTACTTGCCTGATACGTCCTTTCTCATCTTTTTACCTTACTATTATTATTTTTTTAATTAAGTAGGCTCCATGCTAGGCATGGGGCTTGAACTCACAACACTGAGATCAAGACCTGAGCCAAGATCAAGAGTGAGACACTTAACCAACTGAGCCACCTAGGTGCCCCTCATCTTTTTACTTTCAACCACTGTGTGTCTACTGTAAATGAATTATGCATAGTTCTTTTTGCTAGCTTGTTTTGTTTTAAACATATCTATTGGTGCTTTAATTAGACAATTTGGTTCACTTACATTTTCGTAAATTTGATTTATTTCATAAAGCTGATTTATTTCTACCATCTTATTGTGTGTTTTCCACTTACACTGCTTTTTCTTGATTTTCTGACTTCTATAGAAGTGATCAAGTTTCGTTATTCTTCCTTTTTACCTCTATGTACCAGCTACATTCCAGGCCATAAAACATGTTTCATAACTACAGAAAAGTATTATAGACAAACCATATTCCTTTATCATGATACAATTAATTTAGAAATCAGTAACAAAATTTGAATATATTTTGAAAAGTTCAATATCCACTTATTTTAAAAATCTTGAAATATTAGATTTAGGGATCTTTTAACTTAATACAGCATATCTATAAGAAACCCGCAGCAAACCCTATGACCCAGCAATTGCACTACTGGGTATTTACACCAACGATACAAATTTGGTGATCTGAAGGGGCACATGCACACCAATGTTTATAGGAGCAATGTCCACAATAGCCAAACTATGGAAAGAACCTAGATGTCCATCAACAGATGAATGGAAAAAGAAGATGTGGTATATATATACAATGGAATATTATGCAGCCATCAAAAAAATGAAACCTTGCCATTCGCAACAACGTGGATGGAACTAGAGGGTATTATGCTAAGTGAAAAAAGTCAATCAGAGAAAGACAAGTATCATATGATCTCACTGATATGAGGAATCTGAGAAACAAGACAGAGGATCCTAGGGGAAGGGAGGAAAAAATGAAACAAGATGAAACCAGAGAGGGAGACAAACCGTAAGAGACTTTTTTTTTTTTAAAGATTTTATTTATTTATTTGACAGAGAGAGAGATAGCGAAAGAGGGAACACAAGCAGGGCGAGTGGGAGAGGGAGAGGCAGGCCTCCCACGGAGCAGGGAGCCCGATGCGGGGCTCGATCCCAGCACCCTGGGATCATGACCTAAGCCGAAGGCAGATGCTTAACGACTGAGCCACCCAGGCGCCCCACCATAAGAGACTCTTAATCTCAGGAAACAAAACAGGGTTGCTGGAGCAGAGGGGGTGGGAGGGATGGGGTGGCTGAGTGATGGATATTGGGGAGGGTAAGTACAATGGTGAGCGCTGTGAACTGTGTAAGACTGATGAATCACAGACCTGTACCCCTGAAACAAATAATACATTATATGTTAATTAAAAAAAAAAAAGAAAGAAACCTGCAGCAAAATACCACAGTAAAAGGTCAGGCATAAGACAAAGGTACCTGTTATCACTGTATTATACAGAGGAAGTTATAGTTAATAGTGTGGAAAGAAGATATGAAAAAGGACATAAAAATTGCAACAGTAGAGATAAAAATTTATTTGTAGGAAACATGCTATAATAGAAAAACTAAAGAGAACCTGGAAACCATTAGCGCTAATAACTAGTATCTATAAAGACTAATATAAGAGTTAGTTTAGCAGGATGGCTGTATATAAGATCAAGGATACAAACATTATATAGTATTCCAATGAGTCAGCCAGACCCAATTAAAAAAGATGCCCTTTGGGGTGCCTGGGTGGCTGAGCAGGTTAAGTGTCTGACTCTTGATTTCGGCCCAGGTCATGATCTCAGGGTTGTGAGATCTAACTCCGCGTTGGGCTCTGTGCTAAGCGTGGAGCCTGCTTAAGAGTCTCATTCTTCCTCTCCCTTTCCCCACCTCCCTCTTTAAAGTAAATAAATAAATATTTATTTATAAATTTAAGTAAATTATTTATCTAAAAAATTAAAAGATGCCCTTCACAATAACAACAAAAACCATAAAGAATCTAGGGATAAATCCTTTAAGATTTTATTTATTTGACACAGAGAAAGTGAGAGAGAGAGATAGAGAGCAAGCACAAGCAGGGGGAACGGCTGGCAGGGGAGAAGCAGGCTCCCTGCTGAGCAAGGTGACCGATGCGGGACTTGATCCCAGGACCCTGGGATCATGACCTGAGCTGAAGGCAGCCACTTAACTGACTGAGCCACCCAGTCACCCCTAATCCTTTTTTTTTTAAAGATTATTTATTTTTAAGTAATCTCTACACCCAATGTGGGGCTCAAACTCACAACCCCAAGATCAAGAGTCACATGCTCCACCACTGAGCCAGCCTGGAGCCCCTAGGAATAAATGTAATAAAAGATTTGCAAGACCTTAGTGGAGGGAACAGGAAAATAATATGCAAATGCGTAAAAGAAGATTGAGAAGAGAAACTCAGAGGACTCCGCAGGTTAATTTCTTCCTCTCAGTAGCCTATCAACAAGCTGACTCAGCAGGTGTGAGTTTACTCAATGCAAGAAAAGACTGATGAAAGAGACAAAGAGCTCCCCTTTCTAATAAGGCCATTTCATCAACCTCAAAGTTCCAATTACTGGCATATTTTAGTTAATGTCTACTCTCAGTACACATCTATGTGAAGATAATAGAGCTCAGGGGAGTGTGTGTGCTCTGCAACTTACTGTTTCCCACTAAATCTTACTTCACATTTATGCCATGTGATGCATGTGTGTATGTACATGCCCCAAACCTTCATGTGACAGAGACTAACATAAATGCTCTTTAGTGTGAAGACTCAATATCATAATAATCTCAATTTTCCGCAAATTAATTCAGTGCAAGACAATAAACAAAATCCTGAAATTTTTTTTTTCTTTCATGGAATTTGGCAAACTGATTCTAAAATTCTTATGAAAGCACTGTAAAATGATAGCCTTTTAACTATTTTAAATAATGAGAGTAAGACTGTACCATATATACAGTAACACTATCCATGTAGGGCGCCTGGGTGGCTCAGTTGGTTAAGCGACTGCCTTCGGCTCAGGTCATGATCCTGGAGTCCCGGGATCGAGTCCCACATCGGGCTTCCTGCTCGGCAGGGAGTCTGCTTCTCCCTCTGACCCTCTTCCCTCTCATGCTCTCTATCTCTCATTCTCTCTCTCTCAAATAAATAAATAAATAAATAATCTTAAAAAAAAAAAAAAAGACTATCCATGTATCATGGACCATATAATAAATAATGCTGGGGTAACTGGCTATCCTTATGGAAAATGTCAAATAATCCAAAAGAAAAATGGGCAAAGGATTTGTGAATAGGTAGTTGAACTAAAGAGAATTCAGACTATCCAACAGACACATGATAAAATAAATGACCTCACTGGGGCCCTGGGTGCCTCAGTCGGTTAAGCGACTGCCCCACGTCAGCCTCCCTGCTCAGTGGGGAGTCTGCTTCTCCCTCTCCCTCTGCTCTTCCTCCTGCTCATGCTCTCTCTCTCAAATAAATAAAATCTTTTAAAAAAATAAATGACCTTATTAGTAATCAAAGAAACGCAAATTAAAATAAGAAATCATTTCACACCCATGAGACTGGCAAAAAATTTAGGTCTAACCATATACAGCAATAGGTGCTTTTCTATTCTACATGTGGATATAATATAAATGCATGAGAGTAAACTGGAAATATCCCATTGAGCTGAAGATAGGCATTACGCTATCACCTATTATAATATTAACATATGTACAAGAACTATTCATTGCAGTAATGTTTATAACAGCAAAATACTAGAACTAAAATACTCCCTAAGAGAAAAATGAGCAAAAAAAAAATGTAAAAGGAATACTATATATAAATCAAAATGAGGAAATACAGCTAAATATATCAACATGGATACATCTCAAAAACACAACACTGAATGAAAAAAATCAAGTTCCAAGATATATACAGCTTTAAAATATGCAGTTAATATTGTTTATGGATATATACCCATGGCAAAAATTTAGAAGTGAGGGGAGGTGGGTGGGAAATGGGGTAATTGGATGATGGGCATTAAGGAAGGTGATGTGATGAGCACTGGCTATTATACGCAACTGATGAATCACTAAATTCTACCCCGAAACTAATAGTACACACTATGTGTTAACTAAATTGAATGAATTTATTTATTTACTTAAAGGTTTTATTTATTTATTCGAGAGAGAGCGAGTGTGAGCGGAGGTGGTGTGGGGTGGGGAGGTGGAGCAGGGAGAGGGACAAACAGATACCGTGCTGAGCAAAGAGCCAGATGTGGGGCCTGATCCCACAACCCCAAGATCATGACCCGAGCTAAAATCAAGAGTGGGATGCTCAACCAACTGAACTACCCAGGCGCCCCTTAACTAAACTGAATTTAAATTAAAAAAATTTAAGAGCAGAGTTGCGCAGTGGAAGCGTGCTGGGCCCATAAATTAAAAAAATTTAAAAAAAATTTAGAAGCATGCA